AATCAATCAATCAAACCATGACCCCCTAGGGGTAGGATGGGCCACAATGCACTATCAGGGTTTAGCATGTGAATGTATAGGAAAAAAATTCTAAAACCTTTTTTTCAGGAACAACAAAGCCATGTTTAGTCACATTGATATAGAAGTATCTTGAGGTAGTGTAAATTCAAGTTTGTTTAAATCATGACCCCGAGGGGTAGGGTGGGGCTAGCGCTATATCTATAAAAATCATAACACCTGGGGTAGGGTGGGGTCACAATAGTGATTAATGTTTTACATTGGAAGATATGTTAGAATAAATTTGCTGATGAAAAACAGCAGGGCCTTATTGACTCAGGTGAGCGTTATGGCCCATGGGCCTCTTATTTTATGTCAAGGTCTTAAATTGGAAAATCGTAGGACGATTCTTTTATAAAAGGCAGTGACGAATCTGAATGTATAATGGTAGTACAATGTATATTTATCTAGAATATATTCACCACATACAATCAAAAGATATGTTCAGATTTATTATCCATGTATATCACAAAAATGTTATGTTAGAATGATCATTAGTTGTACTGTATCCGTATCTATAGACTTTGATTCATATAACATGAAAAAGAGGGAGTATTTGTTTCTGTATTCATACAATGAATTGGGAAAATATATAATCACCTTAAAAATAAGAAAGGGGTTCATCAACACTACGTACATAATGTATGTGGTAAATGCCTTGTGTGACAAGTAAAAAGAAATCTGTAATATACCAGATGGTGTTTATTTTCTACGTACTTGATACGCAAGGAGCAGATGGAAATTTAAAGAAGGTGTTATTGCCACCCCTCCCCCTCTTCCTCACCTGAGATGCAATGTATTACCGGAAATTTCTCCAGCCACTACCGAAATTATTCATATAACATGCGCAGATCGGGGGGGGGGGAGTCGGGGGACCCCCCCCCCATCTGGAATTTGCAGAGTTATTAAAAGTATATACTGAAGTAAATAAAATATGACTTTGGGCCCCCTTAGAAAACATGGACCCTACCATCACCACCACGAAATAGGTGTTTTTCACGTTTTGGAAATGGAATTGGATTTTACTTTTTTTTTCTTCCTTGTCAAGAAATTTTTGGGTCAGTAATTTTTTTGACTGGGATGCCCCCCCCCCCTGGAAAAATTCTTGATCCGCGCCTGTATAATCATTATTCAAAATTGTTAGGTAATATCCGAAACAACATATATGCAATGTATAGCATTTATGAAAATCGAACTTCAAAAATTCTGTCATGACTACATGAGACCGATTGTATTATTTCCTCCATGGTTACCACGGAGAATGACTGAGGACTTCGAAAAGGATAATTCAAGGAGATTGGCAAAGTTCCTAGCTTTCGTAAAGAATTTTTCAAAAACTCTTGAGCAGGTGTAGTGGTACTAAACAATACACTTTATTGGTTTTCACCGCGTAGAAAATTCTACACGGGAGATCACTCTCAATCAAGCTCCAGACAGCTCAGTATTACTTCATATCATTATTCGTAGGGAAAGAAGTCCCGGAGAGTATGGAGTATGACTCTCAGTCATACTCCATACAGTGTCAATTCTCCCGGACTACTTGGTATGGAGTTGTAGCGTAACGTAATACTGAGCTGTCTGCAGCTTGGACTCTCATGATGGAAAACCCCATGAATCACCTTTTTTCTCCGGATAACCGTGAGTTGCCACTTTCCATAAATGAATAAAATAAATAATCATAAATAATCAGCGTTTTATAAAAGAAATATATTTTTGATTTAAAATTAGACTGAAACGCTTCTAGTCGACATCACGAAAATGTACATATCATGTAGCTTGAAATGGGAAATATGACGCACGATTGACAAGATCCCCAGAAACAATCAGTCAGTATATTTCTGGGTGCAATTGGGGGGGGGGGGGGGGTTATAGCACAAATTAATGTAGAAAATAGAAATTCCTTGATACGCAAAAAAAAGGAAGAGGATCAACTGATGTTCCCTCCCCCTTCCCCCGTTCATACAGACGTGAGATACATAAATGACTTGTATATAGAACTGGACATTCAACTTTGCCCAAAATGCTTCATGTCGGTAATAAAAGAAAATATTTTACAATAATGATTTCAAATTTTAATCGGTCATGCAATACAGCCTGCTAGATTATCCCACAGTCTGTCTATTATAGTCACAGTAAAATGTGTAATTTCTTTTTCTTTTGGCAAAAAACAAAAAAAAAAATACAAAAATGAAATATTATTTCATATATAGTTCATTATGACGAGGAAGAGTGATGTTTTTATAAGAAAGAATTAAGTCCAAACCATGATTATACTTTAAATCTGATGTATATGTTTTTAATATTGAACTACCTGTTTTAAGCTTTAACATTACATGTATTTTGTTTCTGCAGTAAATACAGATCGAATACAACATTAGGCTATATATTACCCTATCCACAAATAAAGGGCAAAATATTATTATAAACTGAAAACAAGTTAATTGTTAAAACTAAAGGGAAGCATATACATACTTTTATTTTTTATCGGTCTTAGTATTAAACTCTACACTTGGAATAAGAAATTTCTTTAAATATTGTAATAAAAATAGACTATATATAATTATATCACAATTTTGATGCGTACGCATGAATATCATAATAGTATTATAATTTGTTCTTCAGCATAATTTATTAAAATAGAGAATTCATATCTGTTGATTTAAAGCAAACACATGACCATTACATTGTCATTGCTATCTGCCGCGGGCTCTACCTGCGGGTACCTGTCAGGTATACGAATACTTCACACCCCCATTGTTTTATTGCCTATACACACCGGCAGATTTCACACCTTTAATCATCCTAATTTACACAAAGCAAATGCTGAGGAAAAAACAAACACAAGCCCAATAAATGCGACATTTCTTTTTTTAAATCATTGCCCTAAATGGTATTGCTAAAAGCACACTAAACATGGAATAGCAATTCCTGCCCTAAGAGATATATTGTACAAAAAAATAAACACAACAGCTAGGGTAAATCCTTAATCTTTCTTCATATGATGTAAACAAACTCTCTTTAATTTTATGTGTTTAAGTAAAGATTAAAACATTTTGCACCACCCGGACCTTTAAACTTCGGCGGACCTTTTCTTATACGGGCCGGACCTTTTCTTATAAAAGGCGGACCTTATATGTTATCGTATTAGGTCCCCCCGGACCTTTAAACGAGGCGGACCACATCGTGTGCTACTTGTCTTGAATGGGAAATAACGAAAAATCCGTCGACAATTCAGTTTGTAAATAATGGCCTAAAATTTTCAATTAGAATGTTTCATTTCTAATTATGATTCACAAGTCAGTGAAGTCACACTAATTATTTCAAATCCAATGTACCAATTTACTTGTGTGACAAACTGTTGCGGTTTCCGTCTCTATGTTTACTTTTGTGCAATGTGTGTTGCTAAAACACTTGCTATCAAACGTTTTATTAGAATGATCTTGCTGTGATTTTGATAAGTGGTGCATTATTGGATAAAGTAGATACCATTAACGTCTTTTTCTAGTGAAAACAGATGTACCAGACTCCGTGGTACCTTTTATTTCGAGTTCAGAGATATATCAACATATTGTATACGAGTACATGTCGACAGCATAGGCATAAAAATGAATATTGTTAATTGATAAAACGACATCGATATATCTAAATGTTGGATTGAAGTCCAAAGCAAGACATTTCTTTTCATTTAGAAGTTTTTTAATAAATTCTGCTTCGTATGAATACAAAAATAGGTCTACCTATAACAGGGCGCAATTAGTATCCATGGGAATTCCGACAGATTGTTGGAAGATTGCTTGTAGAACTCCAAAAATCTCATAGATATTGTCGATCAGAATTTAATTCAAGCATTTTTTTTTTATTGATGCATACATAAAAGAAGAGGAACTCAAACCTTATGCTATCGAAATGATGAAAATACTAAAAGACTCATATTTGGACTAATGTTTATTACATTATGACATGTTCAAGACCATGATTTGTTTGAAGAGTGAAATAATATCTATATATGAGTTTAATTCTTTCTCCTCAAAAATTTTCCACCTTTATATTCCCACTATTTATTACTTTCGGGTTTTTTTGCAAAACACATAACATTTATACAAAATTTTTACCATTATAAATTAACTGGATACTCTTAACAATAATGGTGGAAAATGAATGAATATACCGATATTCATAAAACGAGCATGTTGGTACATTGTATGTACAAGAAAAGAATACTGAAAGCAACGATGAAAATGGATAAATTTTGTTTTCCGTGATCAATAAGGATTTCTTAAAGAGGGGCCATTGTTTTTATCTCTAGAGTAAATTATTTGAAATGTTTTAAGATATTTTGACATGCGTTATGTGCCTAGCTATAGTTGATTAATTTCAGACAAGATTTTTCACCAAAATAAACAACCTTGAAGGCTACAGTATTTAAGGTCAAATTCAGTGGTCAGTGTGATAACAGTTTCACTTTGTTCCAACTTCTTCAATAAAATATGTTTCATTTCTAATTATGATTCAAAAGTATAATTGTTTCAAATCCAATGTACCAATTTACTTGTGTGACAAACTGTTGCGGTTTCCGTCTCTATGTTTACTTTTGTGCAATGTGTGTTGCTAAAACACTTGCTATCAAACGTTTTATTAGAATAATCTTGCTGTGATTTTGATAAATGGTGCATTATTGGATAAAGGTAGATCAAGTGTCCTAGGGGTATTGCCGCAGAATACGGCCAGTTTGACAGGATTTCCTTTCGGGGGGTTTAATGGAAGGGTTTACTAGTTTGATGTTACACGTATTCGTCCTTACTTAAACCAATAACAAGGCCCTTGAATTATATCGATTAAAATCTGAAGAAATAATCTTAAGTTGTCTTTCTCGCCTATGGACATTATGATAAGAAGCTGTGTTGATATTTTTCTTATTTTAAACTTTCCTATTATCTAGAAGAAATGATATATAAAAAGTGAAAGAATGGCGATTGTAAAAAATTGTGGACGTCAGATCATTTTACTTATCAATGGATTATTTGGGGTTTGTACTGTGTTTTTCAATATTTCTTCATAAAGAAACCTATTATTTATCTAGAGACATAGTATAAAACAAAAAAAAAAGCTATCTTGAAAACGGTTTGAAAACATATGTATAGCATTGCATTACATTTTAATTATTCCTGTGTATGCATGAAAACGGATGAAGAGTACTGCACCAATATATTTTTTTTATTTTGTTACATAATTCTTTAAAAAATGCTCAATTTTAATAGATGAAAGAAATTACAATTGTAAAATTATTGTGAAGGGATAAGAGATGAAACTGATGGTAGAAAACAAGTTAAAACTTTCTTTAATGAGAAAGATGAAGATAACGAACAGTGATCGATTTCAAAAATCTTTTTAACAATACAAATCCATGAACGGGGCATAAACACGGACCCTCTGAAATATCACAAGTGGGATCAGGTGCCTAGGAGGAGTAAGCATCTCCTCTTGACCGGTCACAAGAATCTCAAGTAAACACGTAGCAGAAAATCTGTTTGTTTAGCTCATCATGATAAGCAGTATTTATTATTCATACATAGATAATTCAGGGCCTGATAATCGAAAAAAAACTGTCGGTTAATTTTTACACAGGGATGTTTATACGGGTGTCTTGACGTAAATTAATTAGATCATTTGATGGTATACAAGGGTACGAATCCAGGAAACCAATATATTTTAAAGTTTTTTATACATATTATTTCCTATAATTTCGATAGCAACGCTCTATTTAAGGAATTTAATTTGAATTTTGAGAAATGTAAAAATTAGAATCACACCAATGCCTTTAAAAATTGATCAACAGTTATATAGAAATGTGCTTTTTAAAAAAGATAGGATTAGATTAAAACATGCAGAGAGTAAATTTAAAATCTTTTTGCGGCATTTAAGGAGGCTGGGGGGTCAACAAATTAACCACAAATTAACCACCAGATTTAACTTAATTTTTTAGATATGATATCTTAAGCTGTCAACTATCATTTGGCAAAGAAAAATTTCAAAAATTTTAGTTTTAAAATTTGATCATTTTCTATATCTTCATATGGAGCTCTTCTTCTAAAGGAGATCAATATAGTCTAAAAATGGCCACAACCCCCAGCCTCTTTAAACCATGGCAATCATTGCTAACCATTAAGAAATATCACACTTTGTCCTTTGTATATGTACAAGGATCTTTTTCTATTATTTCGTTGCATTTCAACCTATATTTGCTTTTATATTTTAATGTATGACTTTATAAAAATGATTGAATAAAATTATTACTTGTTATTACTTTGTTTCCATAGTAAAGTATGAAATAGTTGATTTCCCAAATATGATTATCATGAGTTTAAGACTCAGGCCTTCAACTTATGGAAACAGTCGTCACCACTTGTTTGCGTTGCTGCAAATGTTAACTATGAGATTCGCAACATGTTCAAAAATGCCATTTTTTTTCAGACTTTAGGGCATATTGCCATGGTAATATGTTTAACCATAGAAAATGCGGAAAGAAAATTTATATATATGTTTTTAAAATAAAAGTAAACAATTTTTTTAGTTTTATCAATGAAATAATATGAAATACCAATTTAAAATCCCTTTTTAAGCTCGTTGGACTTCTTTGTTTTGTGGGAGGGATGTTTGTGAAATACGGATCTGATGACCTCAAATCCATGTTACCAGACTTGATGAATGAACTCGTAAAAAAGATAGACCCAATCTTAAAAGGTATCAATGCAAAAAGAGTTTCTATTAATCGTGCAGGTATGAGAATCTTACAGAAACCAACATATTGGAATCTTACTTGTTTACTTGTTGCAGCCACCCATAAATCATCGTCAGATTTTCTGGATAACCTTGACCTAGAGAAGTTGCTAGGCGACGCTGCTGTTGTTTTTATTGTGTTTGGTGCTATTTTGCTCTTCATTGTCTTCTGGGGTTGCTATGGTATCAGCTGCAAATCCAAGTGTGCCCTTTATATGGTAAAAATTTGGATAATAATTATACTATAAAAATTTGTGAGTATCATTTAAGATTAAAATTAGAATGAGAGGATTTTAGCATTGTTTAACAATCCAGATTTGTTTTGTTAAACGTAATGTTATGATTGAAGGATGTGAAATGAAAAAAAAACCGTACTAGCTATTCATAAATTGATTACACCTGACTGAAATACCTTTGATAAAATATATATATATTAAAATAAGAATCTGTACAGCGTGTTTAATGTTATTCCAAAACCTTTGACTCGGGATCATATTTGTTACGTTCGTTATATCACGCAGTAATAAATCTGTCAAGTATCTAATATTGTGTATTTTGTAGTATGGCCTACTGCTCGTCCTTATTTTGATTGGTCAGATTGTTTGTGCTGTACTGGTCACTAAGAAAAGAAACTTGGTAAAGTTCACATTATACAAGACAGAGAGAGAGAATTTTAATGTGTACAATGTGATTGTAGTAACAGCTATAATCTTCCTGTCTTCACTACCAACGGCAGTAATTTCTTGCACAATTTTATTAGAAATAGTGATCGCAACTTTGTTTTCTTATATATATATATATATATATATATATATATATATATATATATATATATATATATATATATATATATATATATATATATATAAAAGATCGATGACAACCTAAAACCACAACTACGGAGCTCCTTAAAGTCCTATTACCTCGGTGACCACGCTATGGATGCTATCAGTGTACTCTGGAATGCCATCATGTTAAAGGTACTCACTCACTGACATCGCTTACGTAAAAGGCTATAAATGAAAGCATTGACTTCGTTCATTTCTATGATTTACAGTAAGCAACTTATTATTAATAATTACAGGATATAAATATAAAACAAGGCATACTGCTTTTTGAGGAACAGTAAAACAAAATGCTCTTTCTAATAAAAAAAAACAGTAATATTATACAAAGAAAATACAAAAAGAAAATCATTTAATAAGTCAACCAATTATTCAATTATAAATACAAAAATCTGTGCATGATTCGCTATGAGCTCAGAGTTTATATTATACATACAATTTTCCAGTTTTCCTGTTGTGGAATTGAGAGCTATGAGGATTTTACTGGCGGAGTATGGAATAGAACACCTACAGCTGATATTGTCCATGCAGGTGAACAACTGGACACGCCCCTAATGTGCTGCACAGACGCTGAGAGGTCAAAGGCGGTGACGAATTGGTGGATGTGTGCAACGCAACCTTTAATGCAGCAAAAATCAAATTTCGGGAAAGTAAGCATATCATGATTTATTAGAACGAGTCAGCCTTATTTTCTGCTTGAATTTGTGAATTCTTTGCTAACAGTTAAGCATATTTGTTTTTTAATCTTTATGTTTGTTGTTTTGTCGTTTTATTTAATAATTAGCACAACTTTAATTGTATTGTCGAGGGTCCTATAGTCGTGCGGGCCCAGTAGTCGTGCAACATTGTGCTATGATATTGTCATAAACGATTGATTTTCAAAGATTATAGAGAAGGAAGTGCCTACACTATTACAGAAAGTTAAATATACAGACGAAACATTTATTTTAGAAAAATCAATCGTAAACATGATTAAATCAAACTAGATCTAGAAGTACTGTTAGCACTGAGATCACTAAATGTTTATAATGGCAAAGTCCATGTTTTGCTATGGTAGACTCAAAACAAGTGTCGGGTCAAAAAGTAAAATAGGAGGTGCACAATTGCACTGTGTAAGAAAGATTCTGTGAAAGTATCATTAAATTTTATTAATTGTGGTTTAAGAGGAGTTGCGGATAAGAGATGGGTACTCCAAAGCGTAACGGTACAGCATGAAGGTCGGACGAACATCACTATACGGACATCACGATACACTCCCCGCTTTTCAAGCGGGGGTATAATAAATTCTGAAAATGATTGAATTGATCCATAAAGAATAGAATTTTAGTCACCACGAATTTGTTCTGATTCTGTTTTTATTTTTCTTGGTCCCATATTTGCTGCTACATCCGAGTGCACGACTATTGGTCCAAAACAAATATGGCCAACGTAAACCTCACTTGCTTTGTACCTCAATAATGAATTTATTAAAGCGGTTTAAAATATTTTGAATAACAAGAAAATTGGAAAACAGATCAGATGAAATTACCACAGTTTTCATTTAAATTATACCTAGCACAGATACCCTCTCAAGAGCACGACTAACGGGCACTTGAGGGTAAATATGTAAACATCTAATATCAGAAAACGAGATACTTAATCTTAAATTTGAAACGTACTCACTCCTGTCTTTCCAGGGTTGTTATGATGAAGTATGGAGGTATCTAGAGAAGTATGTCAACATCGTCGTGGGGTGTGTCGGTGGCCTTATAGGACTGGAGGTTTGTTTTTTTTTATTATTATTATTTTGCTTTAGCTTTAATTAATATTAAGAAAATGAAACCACAAAAAAGCATAATAAAGATTGAAATCCCCCACTCTGAGAAGAGAAAAAATGAAATCTAAATTGAACTAAAAAGATTAATGGAGTTCTTGAATGTAATGGTGGACAAAATTCGAGTGAGATTTTAGTGATATGATAATTGACTTAGTTTAAATTCTAAGAGACTAATCACAATATGACAAAGATTTTGTCATTTTGTTATTTTGATTTTATTGTTGTTTTCCCCTCCTATTCATTAAAAAACAAAAGTTATATATATTTTTTATTTCAGTTGCTCTCATTTTTACAACAACAACAAAAATGCATCATACTGTCTCATGTTAATTTTTTTTTGAAAATAAAAAAAAAATAATTGGATACATGTAATTTGTCCAATGTTTTTTACCGATTAACTGAAAATTTTCGAGATTTCATATTGTTCTGGCTACCATTTAAATACCGCTAAATGAAATAGCATGCATTTCAGTAATATCCTTTCAGGGAGACTAATTTTTGATTTTTTTGTAGCTTTTGCTTGCTTTCCTAGCGATATACATCGCCAAGAGTATGGACAAAAAGAATAAAGTGGACTCGGAGAAAGGCAGAAAGAGAAAGAAATAAATTTTACTTTGTGCATGTGCTTTCTTTGATATAAATGTATGTGTAACTTAAAACTACAGTTAGAGAAATATGATTCCAAATAACCAACATTGGATGAATTCTCTAAAATGACTTTCAAAAAGAACAATAAAGTTTTATATTAATATTTTGCTGCCCTTTCCTTGCCTTTTTTATAATTATTTTTGACAGCATTAATTATCAGCTTATAACAAAATAATAGAAAGTCAAAATTTCGGGCAACACACTACACACCCAAATATAACTGTTAATTTATAAAGGTAATTTTTTGGACAGTTTTAACTTTTCATGTAGCTTTACATGCTATTTTTTGTTACAACATTTAGAGCGATTCTAGCTATGTTCTTATAATTTATGCCAGAGCTCGAGGCTGCAAGTTTAACTCTTTCGTTCACTGAGATTCGTTTCTGCAAATGAAACTTAAAAAAAAAATAATTGGAATCCCCATAATAATTCGTTTTGTCTATTTAAGAATTGAATTATAATTTACTTTTCAAATAAATTTGTTACTTTGATTTGTGCATTTTTTTAAAATGGTGGGAATGTTAATTTCTTTGTAAGTTGTGGGGGTTTTTTTGTTTGTTTTTATTTATTTTTTTTTTTTTTTATTTTTTTTTTGCTTTTCTTTCTATATATATATATATATATATATATATATATATATATATATATATATATATATATATATATATATATATATATATATGTCGCATAAAGAAGAATGGATAAGGAGAAAAAGTAGATTTGGTCACCTGATGCTTAAAGAAAACATAAGAAACTCGGCACAATTACACTCTACTATTGAAAGAATTTGACATATGATCTACAATAAACAACTCCGAAAATATAACTTCATTGCTCCCTACATATGATGGCTGATTTCAAGTGACTAAGTTGTCGTTTTAGTAATTAATCAAACTGTGTGTATCTAATACTCTCCACAATCTTTACCTGAGACATCGATGAATTATGTCGGGATGTAACATAAAATGGACACAACCGTTAAAAAGCCATTTACATCAAACGATATAACAAAGGAATTAACTTATTTATCGTCAGTAACCAAGTGTATCAAATGTGCTTTAATAATTCTTATCTCTTTGCAAGCGGTAAGTTAATTATTTATTAAATGTAACAAGCATTCTGAGAGTAATCTGGTTCCCGCTAAAAATTGAAAATGCCATAATTCCGTCAAAAATCATTGGAGCGAAACGAAATGCAAACTTGATCTATAAGTAATTAAGGTAAAGTCACATACCAAAAATCAGCTCAATATCTCCAAGCGTTTAGAAAAAAAATCGCGGAAAACCCTTAAAAATTGAAAAGGTCATAATTCCGTCAAAAATCAATGAAGCAGAACGAAATGCAGACTTGATCAGTAACTCATCAAGATACACTCACATACCAAAAATCAGCTCAATGTCTGCAAGCGTTTAGGAAAAAAGTGCGGAAAACCAAGTGGGAGAGACTGTCAGACAGACAGAGGGACAGACAGACAGCTGGACGGACAGACGGACGGACAGACTCAGAGGAAACCTATAGTCCCCTCCGGTTTCACCGGTAGGGGACTAATAATGAAGTAAGATATTTTTTTTCAAAATTACTTAATTTTATTAAAATGATCATTTGAGCCGAGGAACAAATTTCTTTAATCTAGGACATTAAAATGTCAGATTGGTAAATATATTTTTGTGATAGTTACAAGTATAGCAAATAAATCTTACGAACATTGCTCAGACATGACAAATTAAAAATATTCTTATTTATATCACAGCTTTACATGTAAGTTGACAGTTTCTTTTATAGAATTTTATTTTAGGCTATAGAGTTATCACATTCATGCCTTCTTTAAATAAAACTTTAAAAAAAAAAAAAGGACTGTTTCTTTTTATTTCGAGAATTTCGACTACGTTTATAACATACAAAAGTAAAGGTATTGTACATCTATTTATGATTATTAATATCCAGCTGATCGGAGTGAGTTGCTGTGTAGCGTGTCTGTTTGTCAGATTTGACAAGGTGTACATCAAACGACTCATACTCCTCTACCTCGCACCTGTCAGATCGGGTCTCGCGGAGATACAGGCAATCAGTGGTGAGTCAACCGATTAACTGTGAAGTGAAGTAATCATGCATGTCAAGCAAGATATGATAAATAATGTTTTTTTTTATATGTTGAACGTCGAATATGAGCTAAATGCTGAAGAAAACAACACTTAGCAACCCTAAAAGCCAGTTAAATAGTAATAAACCTGAGGTTTCTGTTTATCATTATATTTCTGTAAACTGAAGTAGATTTATAATTCTTTTGAATATCAGTACTGTGATTTTGTTTCTAAAGAAAAATAAAGACTAGGTTTGAATCATTAGAACTTTAGTTCATTCCATTATTTAGCGATGCTGACGATAACATTGATAAACAGATATTTAAAGATCGTACCAAAGTAAACGTCGGAATAACAACACTCACGTCATTCATAAGATGTATAAAATTGAACAAGTACTGAAAATATTTTGAAACAGATCGGTCATATACACAGACTTAATTTTTCAAATAACCCGTTGTTGTTTTTCAGGTACAGAAAATGACATGAATGTAATCAGATCATATGACACAACCGAGGTTCTCCAGGATTTATCATTGGTGCTTCTAGTTACTACATTTGTTTTACTACTTCCGGTTCTATTCGGTATTTCCGGTCTATATATCAACAAATTGTGGCTTATTGCAATTGTACGTACACCATTTATAAAATAAAATACTTTTCGATTTTTTTAGTACATATTAATAGGAGTAGATTGATTGTTTATTTTTTATCCCAAATCTCTTGTAGTTCATCGTGATAACAGGAATTCTTGTTGTGGCCAAAACCACCCTCATCATCACTTCCTCGCTTAGCACGGATTTAGTAAGCATTTTATTTAACTAAAACATATTAGAATAATATTGATATTTTTAATTTGATTTGACAATCTTGGGTGAACCAGTAGGAGTAAGAACATTGGCGGTTTATTTTAAGGTAAGATAACTATCAACCCCTTAAAATAAAATGTTTGTTTTATTAATTGTTTACAGGTTAAGGGGTGGATAAAAGATCCTCTGATGACGTCATTACAGACCCGATACAGGGGAGATCTAGCCAGGGATTCTATCTCTGTTACCTGGAATATGGTCATGACAAAGGTGAGATTTATTTATTCTATCTCTGTTACCTGGAATATGGTCATGACAAAGGTGAGATTTATTTATTCTATCTCTGTTACCTGGAATTTGATCATGATAAAGGAGAGATTTATTTATTCTATCTCTGTTACCTGGAATATGGTCATGATAATGGTGAGATTTATTTATTCTATCTCTGTTACCTGGAATATGGTCATGACAAAGGTGAGATTTATTTATTCTATATCTGTTACCTGGAATATGGTCATGATAAAGGTGACATTTATTTATTCTATCTCTGTTACCTGGAATATGGTCATGATAAAGGTGAGAATATGGTCATGATAAAGGTGAGATTTATTTATTCTATATCTGTTACCTGGAATATGGTCATGATAATGGTGAGATTTATTTTTTTTTCTATATCTGTTACCTGGAATATGGTCATAATAAAGGAGAGATTTATTTATTCTATCTCTGTTACCTGGAATATGGTCATGATAAAGGTAAGGTATATTTAAAGCCTTGTGTAGCGATCTATGTGAGCGGATCAAAGGATCTGATTTTAATCAGATTGGTCATAGGCTCATGTACTCTTTACAGTCATATTATAGGTAAATGATCTCTTTCTGAAAGTTTTACACTTTAGGTTTTAATTCTATGGTTTAAGCTTATTATCAACATTTTAATGTCCGTGTATTTAGCTCCTCTGTCATCAGTAGAAAAAAATATCCATCGTTCAGTGGGTTTTGAATGCAATTTTATTGAAAGTTAGAACTTCTTTTCAAAATGAAGTAATTTATAATAATTTCTTAAATAGCATTTTTGGTGTTATCAGAAAGGTAACTTAAATGAATACCCTCCCCTTTCACTCAGAGTAAAGGATATAAACTATACAAAGCAAGACATTAACCATTTATATATTTGTATTGCTTTCTTTCAGTTTTCTTGTTGTGGTGTAGACAGTGGTAGAGATTTCAAGTTTTCCCGATTCAGACGAGATTTCACACTGAGAGTATTTAATCAAACTCTGTTACTAAGCAACTTACAAACACCTATAGCTTGTTGCAACAGTGCTTCAAGGACTACAAGCTTTGAACCAGGCGCATGTGCAAAGTATCCTATCCAACGAGAGCACACTCATTATTTTGAGGTGAATGCAATTACATGTTACTACATGAACCATTTCAGTAACATGCAGAATACTTGTCTCAGAAATTATAATTATGTGTCCAGAGAAAATCTGTTTTCAGCAGATTAGATTAAATGCTCTTTGGGACTGATCTGACTTTTGTCAAATGGTTTTATCTTTAATAGTGATTCAGCAATTTTTACTTTTATTCTATGTAGGGATGTTTCGAAAAGATCTGGAACTCTCTTTCCCAGTACTCTGGTGAAATGATACTGTCCGCTGTTGGTATTTGCGCAGTACAGGTACACGTCACTTTGCAATAAAATTTACTGAAATATTAACAAATATGTGTCAAACATGGATTATTGATGATAAACTATTTAGAAAATAGTTCATATTGATGTATTGGTAACTTCTGTAGCCAGTTCAAAACATAGTTTTATAACTATCTACGGGTTTTTTTCGTTTACCTGATCATGACAAGGAGCACACGGCGGGTGTGACCGGTCGACAAGGGATGCTTATTCCTCCATGGCACCTGAACCCACCTCTTATCTTTAAGAGGTCCCTTTGGCTCTGCTCATAATTTTTATTGTTTAATAAAACTTTTGAGTATGGACATTTCATAGTGTACATTTGGTGGTAAGCAGATAGATGACTTTCTTTACCAATGAAATAAATAAATGAATAATGGACCAAATATGTAAAATAATATGCTTTATACACTATACAAAATATTTCTCCTTCTGTACTAGGAAACTAGGCAATGCTTTTTATATGGTTGGAATGATAATATCGATAGTGCAGAGAATCTTCCAAGTCCGTTGTATAACAACATGAAAGTGATAGAACTTTTTAACAAAATGCAGAGATGTTAGCGTAGTCATAGACATCGGTCTTTCAATAAACCTAATATACATGTTGTTTTTTTTTTTAATCACTTCTTCCTAACGTCAATAAACAGAACTGCATTATATTATATTGAAATTTTTTTATGGTTTATATGTAAATGCTTAAGAAAGTCAATACTTGGATTCTTCAACACCAGAATACAGGCTAAATTCTGTGATTATTTATATTAACAACCATACCATGGGCTCTTTAAGCCGCCACGTTTTACGAACGATAAAAATTCTCAAGAAATCCACCTGTTCCTTAAGCTAAAATTTAAAACAATGGAATTGACACCGTAAACATTAGTAGTATTCTTAATCATAAAAAGATCCAGTCTTGCATTCCACCATATTCAGTTTGGCGTGCACACTCTGTATTTCTTACGAATATTCATCGACTACTGCTTTTGTAATATTTCCAACAACCAAATTGAATACAAATTACCATGCCTCTTTTGGATTCTAAAACTTCTTTGAAATACAGAGATACGTAGCGGGGTCTAGTAAATGTTATATCAAACCCACTTCAGGACTATTGTACAACAACATATTCGAGAAGCAGTGTTAATCAGATGTGGATACTTAAAAAACTTTTGGAAAATTCGAAATCACATAATTTTACGAAAAATAAAAACATCAAAATGTACGACTTTTCAACACTTTATACACATTTTTATTTAAGAAACAGCTGTCTATGATGTCAAAATGCCTATAGTCTTTAATTTATTGTGGGGAATAGTTGTACATTGTTAGGCCACAATTTTCACATTGAATTGGCTACGGTTTTCCATTTACCCCATCATGACAAAGAGTACACGATGGGTGTGACCGGTCGAGAGAGGATGTTCTCGCCTCCATGGCACCTGATCCTTCCTCTGTATACAGAGGTCCGTGTTTGCTCTGCTCACAATCTGTATTGTTTAATATGACTTTGAGCATGAATACTGTTCCTTGTCTTCATAGTTCATTCTTTTATATTTTTTCATAAATCACACTCATCCCATAAAGCATTCAAAACTTTGCATATTATCATGTTAACTTTATTTATTTGAATAGAAAAGGAGAAAATTATTCAAAAATTTACCCTGTTTAAGAAATACTTATGACTTCTTGTTATTAATTATTTATTTTTGCACAAAAGGAAAAGATTGAAAACAGAATTTTAAGTAATCGTTGTCTCTTTAGGTGTTACAGGTAATTCTGGCTTGTGTCTATGTGGAACTCCTCAAGCGGGATAGAAAGGACCAGATACAGCAACAATCCCGAACGTACAGAAAAGGAAGTGACTTCTTCTTCCCCTCAGTAACAGAAGAGTAAAATAAAACATCGATAACTTCAGGTCAAGGTGTCAAGGTTGTATTTGCTCTTATTCTGTGACAGGTGTGCTTTCCTGAGATACTGTGTGACTGACGCTATTACCCGAGTTTATCAGATAATATTTTGTCATCTTCGCTAGATAGCAATAAAACATACCTTTAATTAAAAGAAAGTTCATTATACAATCTTGCATTTTTAGAATAAAGTTCAAAAACTTGTGGCTTTAAGATGTCTTTCACTTACGATATTCTCCTCACAAACTCTTGACCTATAGTCCTATTAAAAGTTATGATGTTTACGTCACGTGAACAATCCCAACTTTTGATAGCACGAAAGGCCAAGGGTTTCTAAGGAGAGTGGTGGATCAGAAACGCTTTGCTTAAAGTTGGATGACACCACAGGTATTTATAGAATGGCATTGTAATTTCCAAGATCGATCTCGAGCTGAGATTACGTCATTGACAATGGCTTTTCAATATACTCGCTGATTGGTCGAACAATAGAGTGTACGAAAAAAACTCCAATCAAATCCCACATTTTGCTAGCACGATAGATATTAAGTAGCGGATCAGAAACACTTGGCTAGCAAAACTGAATATTTTGTTAGTTGACCCTTTCGTTCAAGAGTTGTTGATTAGTCGAAATATTTATAAAGAAAAAAGTGAATGTTTGATTTCTTTATTGCAAACTTCTACATGTTTTCATAGCTAGTTGCCTTGGATAAAGGTCAGAGCGACATTAATTGAGCTGTATCTCAGATTTAGTTCACATCAATATTAAGTTCGACAGGTTTATTTTCAATTTCCCTCTTGACCAATCATAGACTTGTTAACATTTTTAACAATCAATTAAATTTGGCGTTTGAAAGCATGTATCGTTGTAAACATGGCAGGTACCAAAGAGACTGAAATCCATTTTTTTAGCATATAGTGATTTCAATAATTTTTTTTCTTTTGTTTAACTTTTGAAATATTATGATGTGTTGTACACCACAGTTTGTGTTATTTTAAAGACTAGGTCTGAAGTATGAAAAATGTCTGAATTATGGGGTGAAAAAGCATTTCGGTCAATTGTGATTCTACGGACATGGTCAAGTACTGGTCAACCTCGATCTTTAATTTCTATCAACCAATACTTGAACCATGTCCATATATACACATATGTAGACCTCATCAAAAATAAATGAAAATGTACAAATTTTGCTTGAAGCTTGAAGCATTTGAACTTCATGATTATAATCACAAGGGTTTTTTTGTTGCTCTTTTTTTTCAATTGTGTCCGTTCTGTGTACCGAAACATGAAGTTTAAAATAATTTTTTAAAAAATCTATCTAAAAGGCATGCAGAGTGAAAATTTTAGGATTTTTTTCTTGTCCTTTTGTGTATCATCTTCAACGTGCTGTGTCGGTGGAGTAAAGAATATATAAAAAAAAGAAAAAGTAAATAAATGTAATATGAGAAATGCCAAGCTTATCTGATTATAGAGCAACAGAGTGCAATATTCTTATGGTTGAAATTCAAGGTTTTCTTTTTTCAGTCAGTTGCCTCTTGATGCATTTTCTTCTGTGTGGAGGATTTTGTAGACTTCCCATTTTTACATGTGTGGAAACTAAAACATATCTACAGTATTTCTATGTGACCATTTTTTAAGTTTTATGAAACAGAAACTTGCAGAATGATCTTAGGTCCTCTTCACAGAGATTTAAAATGAGTAAATACATGTACCTTTATTTATTATTTGTGTATTTGCCTTTTGTATTTTCGATTCAACAATATTCTGATAATAAGTATTATTTACACAAAAAGAGACCAAATTCAATCTCGGTAAAAATATTCAGTTCTTTGTCGAATTTAAAACACATGCATGCAAAGAGACGTAGACAAGACTCTTTAAGGACAGACGATACGTTCCTCAATAATATATATTTTTTTTCAAGATTTTGTCATTGAAGTATTGCTACTTTAACACGTTTATTCACAAAAAATTGAGGTACCTTACCAGGCATTTGTGCAAGATACCAGAGGGTAGTTTTTCTTATATAATCCATTTGGAAAAAAATTAATTTGCAAATATCAAATTTTTTAGAGTTAGGATTTTTTAAGGACAATTAGAAACTGGTTTAGAAATCAGAATGTAATTAAAATTTTGAATATTTTTCATACATTACGAAGATATACATAACAGATATTTGAGGAACGTATCGTCTGACCTTAAGACTAGCTTTTTGAGTGAAAAGGGCCAAAAGTCTATTTCATCTTCTTAGCATTAAAAGGCGATTTGTGTCTAAGTAAAATATACTCTTACTAAATATCTGATATTTTAAAGTGCACCTCCACTGGAGGATTTGTTGATTTTCTTAAAAATAAAAAGAAGGAAATGTGGAGTGTCTTCTTATCAGCATGTTACTTTTATCTACTTTGAACTTTACTCCTCACCAAATATTAGCAGCAGTGAAGGAGTAACTTCAGAAGTCCTGTACAACAATGTATTCGAGAAGTGGTGTTAAATGTAATCAGAAAAGAATACTTAAAAACTCCAAGAACTTTCAGAAAATTTGAAATCACAAAATTTTACCGAAATCAAAAACATGAAAACGTATGACTTTAAACAATTTATGCAACCATTCCCCATGATAAATTAAAGTTCAGACTTTTGACATCATAGACAGCTGCTTTTTCAATAAAAAAAGAAGTAACTTTATATAACTTGTCATTGATCATTTGCAAAATCATTTTGTTGAAAAAACATTCTCACACATGTACCCCGAAGATGATATCAAAAAGATGCTTTAGTTTCCGATTAATAATATCTTTGTAATTTTTGGAGGTCGTCTTCCAACAATATGTTGAAGCTTCCATGGGTACTAATTGTGTCTCTTTATTAGCAGAATTAATTTAAAAAATTTCTACATGAATAAAAGATGTCCCTGCTGTGCCCTTCAATTCGACCTTTATTTATATATATATATATATATCGATGATGTTTATAAATCATAATTCATTTTCATTCCTAAGATGATTTGATATATCCCTTTGAACTCGAAATAAAAGACACCACAGAATCTGAAAAATCTGTTTTATATTTGGGTATTTTTCTAGAAAAAGATGTAAATTCCAAAACTTTATGATAAACACAATGACTTCAACTTTTCTATTTAATTCGATACGCAAGAGCATGCTCTACATATGACAATTTCTAAAACGAGACAGCTATTGACAAATAAGTTGATGATACGATGATATTAACAGTCCCGTCTAAAGTCTACATTTCTCAAATTCTATGGTCGATAAAATGACCTTGTTAGCAAATACAATCTATTGTTAAGTCGAATATTTAAAACTAATGTTTTTCATACAAATTGTTAAGCCATTATTTTCACACTGAATTGTCTACAGATTTTTCCGTGTACCCGATCATGATAAGGAGCGCACGGCGGTTGTGAGCGGTCGACAGGGGATGCTTACTCCTCCATGGCACCTTATCAAACCTCTGATGTTATTAGAGGTCTGTGTTTCCTCTCCTCACAATTTGTATACTATTATTGCGATTGACTTTTGAGCTTGATAACTATTCTTATCTGACGTGTCATCCAAGCACCCATACCCTTGCCGTAGGATAAAAGAGCGTAAATTTCCATTCCTACCTTTTATATATATATATATATATATATATATATATATATATATATATATATATATATATATATATATATATATATATATATATATATATCAATGGCAGGGTTGAGAGATATTACCAAATCAAGAGACACCAAATTCAAGGAATGAATTCATTCTAATGATTTTCATTTTTTTTTTTTTTTTTTTGTTATCAAAAAACAACAATATCACAGACTTATATGGAGAAGTTATATAGCTAGGTTTTCAATAAATAGACCTAATTAAAATATAACTAAAACGTAGTAGAGAAAACAGTCACCGTGTACTACTAGTATATTTTTCCAAATAAGTATGTAGAAATTATTTTAGAAGTTCAAATGGTGTTAAAATGTTAATCTAAATGAAATAATTATTTTGGTGGGAAAACGTTGTTTTCGAAATCTCCAAGCATATTACCGGGCGGGCGATAACTTCCGCACACAAAAACGGTACAGCCGTCTGCAGACTTCGCCTTACCGAACCCGACTTCTGTGGTTCCCTTCCAAACAACTTGAGTAAAATGACCTGAAAGAAACCAAATTGTTGATATATATTTCATTTTTTCTCAGTCTGGAATGTCATGTGAACGGCAACACAATCATGTTACCAATGCTAGTAATATATCTCTACTACAATCAACATTTTGAAGGTGTACCTGGCAGCGATTTTGAAAGTAGGGCGGCAAATTATACTTCTGACTCAAATTTATATTGGTTTTGTATATGAATTTATGTTTTAAAACCTTAAACAATCTCTTCTCGTACTGTGGCTCTGATTTCTTTGTAACTCCGTGTAAGTTTAATGGCTCGGATCTTAGAAGTTTATTATATCAATTTATTCTCAGTGAGGGATTACAACTAACCAATTTTACAGTAAAAGTTCCTAATGTGCTACATGTAGCCATTAAGTTATTTATTCCTTTTTACATTAAATCAATATATTTAATGAAATGTTTAAGAAAAAGGACCTAGGATTTGGTGACAATCAATGAAAGAATAAATGCATTTTCTGTTTCCTATTGGGTTCCATTCAATTTCTCTAATCTCTTGTACAGTTATTCTGATTTAGTGTTTTTAAATTCTAAATGACCTTGTTTGAAGAATTGAAGCTATTTTAACCTAAGTGTTATTCTTTAATTAAATATTATCCAAAAAGTCATTACAGTGGGGAGTTTAAATTCTCTTGTTCAACACGTCCATTTACTAAAATACAGAACTTTACACGTTTGGTTTTGCAGACTTGAATATCGATTATCCATTTTGAGGGCTTGTTAAGGTCTTCCGTTTCCAACGGAAGACCTTCTACTGATTGTGATGATTAAGCTTATTAAGGTCTTCCGTTTCCAACGGAAGACCTTCTACTGATTCTGATGGTTAAGATTATTCTTATTATTCTTTTTTTTTTCCCTAGACGCCAACTTTGAAGCTTCATATCTTCCTCATTTCTGAACGGATTTTGTTCAAATTTTCAGAGTTTTTAGACTTTGCAAAACACTCTTAGAATACTGTAATACAATTCGGAAATTACCTTCTGTTCACGAGTTATTCCCCTTTGATTGAAATTTTTATGCCTCTTGTTTCCAGACAAAGGCTCTGAGACTGTAATAACTGGAGCACAAAACCCTTTGAAATTGAAAAGAAGAAGCATTGAAGTTGTGCACATCGGTTTTTGTTTTTTGATTTTTGCATTAAAAAGGGCGCTAGAGAGGGGTCAAAAGTTAGAACGCGGAAAAGAGCAAAAATTTTGACATATTTTCCTTTATATCTTTAAAACTAGAAATATTTTGTTAAAACATGTAGAATAAAAGTTGTGCATAATAGCAAGAGCTTTCATTTGATATCATTTAAAAGGGGCTGGCCCCTAAAATTAGGGATCTAGGGCCCTTGAAAGTTTTCGCTTTATAACTCAAAAACGGTAAATATTTCGATATGGCTTTTGGAATTAAAGTTGTTCTTTAACACCTTATTGATCTCATACAAATGTTGTTTTGTTCGAGTATTGCGTAATATGTCGTAAAATGTAGGTAAAAAGCAGGTCCCGTAAACAGGTAAGCGTTTTCATTCGGCAAGTAAATCGGAACTCTTCATGTGTATAACTTCAACAAACTTGCAATAAATTATATACCCTACTGTATTTAATGCTAATTTTCTTCTAAATAAGGTTTTAAACGTGTTCTGTGGTTCACTCATAAATTATTCTTTACAACTTTCTTTTCTTTTTTAATTTAGATTTAAAGGGAACACGTCTTCAAATAAAGGAAGGAATTAAATGTATCTATATAACTATATAAGTAATATTAAACTTTAAGCATCGAATAATTAATGATCATTAACAGTACGCATTTCTCCATGCTCACCTAAATGTTTTTAGTTATGTAACACAACCCGCGATCCCACGTTGCCGAGGTCACCATCGACCAGCCACCTGCGGTCATAAACCATGTAAACAAAACAAATATCTGTGAAGACTGTGATCACGTTTTAAATCCATCGTGTAGAAACAACAACTAATGAAACATTGTGTTTTTTAAATTTATATTGAATCTTTAAGATAACTTAATCTCATCTTTGATTTAATCTTAATTTCAAACACTAGTGCATAAAATCATTTCGAATTTTAATCGCTTTTACCGGCCTGTTCACTGTCGACACAGCAATACGATTTAAAAAAAAAAAAAAAAAAAAAAAAAAAAAAAATTTATTTCTCTGTCCCGTGTAATTGCATCTTTGATTTAGTCTTAATTTCAAACACTAGTGCATAAAATCATTTCGAATTTTAATCGCTTTTACCGGCCTGTTCACTGTCGACACAGAAATACGATTTAAAAAAACAAACAAACAATTTATTTCTCTGTCCCGTGTAATTGTATTCTATTTCAATTGTAATTGAAAAGGTGCTAAGGCAAATAATTGCAATTAGTGATGGAAGTATTAAGTATTAATACTTGTGTAAAGTATAATTTTTACTATCAGTCTCTTAATTGTTTCTTCATTTAATTTTTCATTAAATATTAAACTACATGTATATACATCAAATAATACTTTTAAACATACAATAATTCACGCCTTCTTACAGCACAGTTTACATTCTGCTCTGTCGCTTTGTAACCCAGTCTTCGTGCACACGTGGCCGCAGAGAGCCGGGGTCATATCGGTATTAAAATACATTGTGTACTCATAGCGATTAATGGAAAATTGGGTTTGAAATCATTTCGAATCTTACATATTATTTTATTTTACTCTATCTCACGCTTATTTTTATCAATCCTTACCGCCCGTGCATTTATTCATTTCAAGTTTTACGCATTTTAATTGCCGACTTAACCATTAAGTTTGCAACAATTTATTTTTCTGTCTCGTGTTTTAAACTGCATGTACACATGCATGATAATTGTAAGTGGAGGTGACTTTTTCAATTCTCGGCATCCTCACATGTGATTTCGGAACCTTAATTGACATTGTGAGGATGAATTCTCGGGAAAATCGAAAAGTTTTACGGATACATACATACATACATACATACATACATGCATGCAAGTACAGAACATGCTCTTTTTATAAGCACGATCATGAATTCGAATGTACAAGTGTACATGTATATGCAAGAGCGCCCCAAATGTACGCATATCGAGTGTTTAAAATACAGAGAAATACAAAATCCCCGGTCTCTGTTTTACATTATCTTTGCAACAAAATATTGGTTAATCTGAAATCAATTTTATTGATCTATAGCTTATTTTGAAGTAAATTATCGGTCCACTGAGTTGATAATGAGTTGTTTTTATAACGAGTACATTTAGAGTATTCCGAATCACTTTTTACATTTTGACGGTAAACGATTTTATTAACAAGTTTATAAATGGTTGGTTGGTATTAAAGGAAAGCCAATTCAATGAAAAATCAAATCTACATTACACGGCGAGTCTATCTACGATACAGCGGCCTTGACAGGGGTTATATTTACATCACCTTTTTAGTGTATTGCAGGTCACTTCCGGGTATTTCGAATCACCTGGTAAATGGCTAAAAACAGTCAGATAACAACATTATAATTAATGAATTAGTTGGTATTGTTTACCAAAAGTATCAAAAAATAAAAAGAATTATTTTCTTGTTGAATGTTGTTGGTTTTTTTATTAAGTTATTAAAGCCCCCCCCCCCTTCTGTAGACAACACTATAAAACAGCGTTCTCAGAGGCGGATCATGCAGAAAAGCAAACACCAACAGAATATTTACTTTCTGAAATTACCTGATTGTAAATTGTTGTCCTGTAAATATAATCATGATAATTATGTAATTTTTTTTTACCTATGTGATTTTTTTTAATGCAAATAATTAACATTGAACTGTCATAATTCTACGAGTAGGCTACCAAATAATGATATAATGATGATAAAAAAAAATTGTGAAAAGAAATTAAACCAACTCATGTTTAGATTTCATGATTATCAAGAATGACGTATATCACTGCATACGTGTACTCGTACATATCAACATTGATCAACACTGATCAAGTGTATACCGGGACCCGGGATAGTCTTATTATAGCTCTTGCTTTGTCAAATCATTACTTTCATACCCCTTGCATTTAAGAAAAACAATGTTATAAAAAAAAATAATAATCTGACATATAACAAGTATACATGTAGCGTGTGCAATTTATTTGGCTAGGGGCATGTACACACGTGGTTCGAAACTATAGGGGGCTACAAATGCGGCCATAACTAGTATATTTTTGAGTTGTTATAAAAAAACAAATAATACTCACAAAAACTTATAAAATTGCCGTTCTATCGATACCTTATATGCCATGTTTCATCCACCAACAACGCCTAGACATCGATGAGAAATACCATGCAACGTTTCCTTCGAAAAGGGTAGGAAGTTAATGAATTAAAATAATTAATTCTTTTAGTTAACGCATTATGTTTACCTCTTTATTTGTTGTATGCAATAAGTATAGACCTTACTAATAATGACTGTTTGGTTGTCACACCTGTGCAGGTGTCGTGCGAGGTACAGCGGTAAGGTAAATTACCGAGAGTCGCGATATGCGGGGTGATTCGGAATACCCTAAATGATCTAACATGGGCCCACATAATACGACTAAATTCGTTTCATGAATGAACTGGTTCTTAACAAATATATGTACAGTATACAATATCTTTTCTTTAGATCTGTTTGTTTATTATTTTCAACCACAATCTGCAGTTATATCACCGAGCAAAATTAACATTTTTGAAATAAATAACTCTTTAAATATATTTTACTAAATTTGGACATTTATCTGTTAAATTCTCTGTCTATTATCATTATGTGTCTATTATTTAGTTGATTGAATCTCATTCTCTTTGAAACAGGATTAAGACATTCCAATTGACTTTAAGTGACGTGTCAAAAGAATTGATACTCGTTAGGTGTAAATGCCTCAGGACCTGTTAATCTAATATCAATAACTTTGTTTATATAATTATTTAGCAATGTCTTTTATGTCCATTCCATCAAAGAAACACACCTGTCTATCA